CATATGACATCTATGTACCAAGTTTCATTGAAATGTGATGATTAGTACTTGAGATATCAGTGGAAAAACCGAAAATTGACTAATCATTATGCAAATTAGGTAATTAGTATCCACGGATTATTACCAAAAACTAATCAAAACCTAGCATTAGTTCAGAGCATCTATGTACCAAGTTTCATCAAAATCCAATGAGTGGTTGTTTAGATATCAGTGGAACAGTCATGGAACCACTAAAAAATAGCTAATTATCATGCAAATTAGGTAATTAATATGCATGGATTTTTACCAAAAACTAATCAAATCTGCGCATATGTTCAGAGCATCTATGTACCAAGTTTCATCAAAATCCAATGAGTGGTTCTTTAGATATCAGTGGAACAATCAGAGAACAGCTAAAAATTAGCTAATTATCATGCAAATTAGGTAATTAACGAGCATAGATTTTTACCAAAACCTAATCAAATCTGCGCATTGGCCCAGAGCATCTATGCACCAACTTTCATCAAAAACCGATGTATGGTTCTTGAGATAGCAGTGGAACAGTCAGACACACATATACACATACACACATACACACACACACACACACACATACAGACACACTAACTGCACATGGGAGTCAAAAAATTCACTGAATTTTATTTTCACTGAAATAGTGAAAATAAATTCCAAGCAAAATTAAAATATTTTTAATAGAAGCCTTATACATATGCATGAGTGTAATTCTTGCAATACTTCCAGGCATACCTACCAGTAAAACTTGGCCACTGCTGATACCAGAAACTACATTAACACTCCAAACTCCAGCCGTTAAAGCAAAGGTATTACCAGATATTCCGTCAGCATTATTCAAACTCTGGTAACACCAGGTGTCCGGACATTGAGACAGGGTTGTAGAACCAGACAAGGATATTGGGTTTGATAGCCCACCATTACTTGTGAGAGTTACAGTCACCATAGTTGGATTATCAGCTATATAGTGGAACAGCAACTCATACTGTCCACTGAATGTGGTGTCAGAGGGGATGGATAAACTTGTAGTTGAGCTTTCCTGAAATGAGAAAACCAACTTGTAAGAACACTTGGCTTAATGACCCAGTAGCAGACTGATTACTGTAAAACCTCTATTATTTTCTGCGGAAACAATTACTATTTATTCTGTCTTTCAATTCAAAATCATTTCACACTTTTTTCTGTTTCAAATGACCTCCATTAACATCTTCAGGTCATTCAGTGACCACTGACTATAAAACTCAAAATATAATTTGACAATTTAGCCACCGATGTTAATGCACCAATTAATGGAAAGACTACTGCAGCGGTTACATAATGGTGTTTAACCAAATATACTTACCCCAGATGACAGACTCACATAACCATACCAGAAATATCCATCATACTCTTCATCTCTTCCCCAGTTTGTTGCTGTTATAGATTCCAACTCAGCATTGATGAAATGCACATCTGGGTAGTATGCTTCTGATGCCACACTGGAAGAAACAATTGTAAGACCTTACCATTAATAATGCACACTGCCGATTTGCTGTAAACATATCTAGCAGCAACATACCAATTCAATCTTAAAATATTTGAAATAAATACAAAGTAGTAGTCACTTTATCCAAGGTAAATCCACTGGGGATACAATGTCATGCAGCCATAACAGGTATGAACAGGACAAACACATAAAACACCAAATTGAAAGTAAAGTAAAGTAAATAAATAAATGGTTACAGAGCATAAATCCAGTGCACCTGACGACGAATACCCTAAACATCCAAAAACTTGAGGTTTTATATAGACTTTTTGTTTTCTATACATTCCAGATCATTTTTAGCACCATTTAAATTGGCTTTTTTATCATGTTTGTCCTGTATTGCACACTAAAAGACAATTTATGATTTTTTAAATATAGAAAACAATTAAGGTAGTGATGTGAACTAAACAAGATCAGACTCAATTGTATACTTACTGTTTGCAGGACTTGGGTAAGACAAATAGTGGACACCCATACCAGGATTCATGCAAAGTACATGGATACAGTAAACATATACACCACTACAAACACCTAAGAGAGACACTGATCGGTACAGGAAAAGATTCCAGTAATAGAACAAAGATAGAGCAAGGGGAGTAACCATGCACAGTGTAAGAAGCACATGCATTTCATTTGAGGTCTGTAGTGTGAAATCAATCATTGTGGTAATGCAGAAGCCTGAATATTTTCACACTGAAAAACACTTGTTTTTTTGTGTTTTTTTTACATATTGCAAAGAACTTTTTTAAAAACAATTTTCTCAAGAATCACGAATAGGTTTCAACCTAAAATGCAATTAGAGGATCAAACAACCCTGGCTACAATATTGCCACATATCAGAACCCTTGCTGCAATATAGGCACACATCACAACCCTGGCTGCAATATAGGCACACATCACAACCCTGGCTGCAATATAGGCACATATCAGAACCCTTACTGCAATACAGGCACATATCACAACCCTGGCTGCAATATAGGCACATATCAGAACCCTTACTGCAATACAGGCACACATCACAACCCTGGCTGCAATATAGGCACATATCACAACCCTGGCTGCAATATAGGTACATATCACAACCCTTGGCTGCAATATAGGTACATATCACAACCCTGGCTGCAATATAGGCACATATCAGAACCCTTGGCTGCAATATAGGCACATATCAGAACCCTTACTGCAATACAGGCACACATCACAACCCTGGCTGCAATATAGGTACATATCACAACCCTGGCTGCAATATAGGTACATATCACAACCCTTGGCTGCAATATAGGTACATATCACAACCCTGGCTGCAATACAGGCACACATCACAACCCTAGCTGCAATATAGGCACATATCACAACCCTGGCTGCAATATAGGTACATATCACAACCCTGGCTGCAATATAGGCACATATCACAACCCTGGCTGCAATATAGGCACATATCACAACCCTTGCTGCAATATAGGCACACATCACAACCCTGGCTGCAATATAGGCACACATCACAGCCCTGGCTGCAATATAGGCACACATCACAACCCTGGCTGCAATATAGGCACATATCAGAACCCTTACTGCAATACAGGCACACATCACAACCCTGGCTGCAATATAGGTACATATCACAACCCTTGGCTGCAATATAGGTATATATCACAACCCTTACTGCAATATAGGCACATATCAGAACCCTTGGCTGCAATATAGGCACATATCACAACCCTGGCTGCAATATAGGTACATATCACAACCCTGGCTGCAATATAGGTACATATCACAACCCTTGGCTGCAATATAGGTACATATCACAACCCTGGCTGCAATATAGGCACATATCAGAACCCTTGGCTGCAATATAGGCACATATCACAACCCTGGCTGCAATATAGGTACATATCACAACCCTGGCTGCAATATAGGCACACATCACAACCCTGGCTGCAATATAGGCACACATCACAACCCTGGCTGCAATATAGGCACGCATCACAACCCTGGCTGCAATATAGGCACACATCACAACCCTGGCTGCAATATAGGCACACATCACAACCCTGGCTGCAATATAGGCACATATCACAATCCTTGGCTGCAATATAGGTACATATCACAACCCTGGCTGCAATATAGGCACATATCAGAACCCTTGGCTGCAATATAGGTACATATCACAACCCTTGGCTGCAATATAGGTACATATCAGAACCCTTACTGCAATACAGGCACACATCACAACCCTTACTGCAATACAGGTACATATCACAACCCTGGCTACAATATAAGTACACCTCAGTCCCCAATAAATAACATTCTAGCACAATACCCTTAAATGGACAGGAACTAAACTACAAGTTCCTGTTTCAGACTTCATGATAATGGGGACTAAAAACATTGATTTGTTTACACCATCAAATAAGTCAATTAGTAAAATGTTGGGTCTTAAAGTTTGTCTGAAACAGAAATAATGGTATAATATTTATTTACAACATTAAAATAATAAAATATAAAAAAGCTGAATTATTCATAACAAATTAATGAGCTACATAACCCTAATTTTGATTATTAATTAGGATATATCAAGCATGAACAAATTTGATTTCAATAATATGTATGTTAGCCAACATTCACCATGAATTAGAAATTAACCACACCTGCAATAACAGTATGTTGCATTCCATTTTATAAATTTGAAAATATTAATGATTCAAACTACTGCATACTTTTGTTTTCAAAACTCTCAAACAACGGATTACAGAGACAGAGACACAAACAAATAGTGATAAAACATTTATTCCTTTGTACTTAAAATCAATAGAAAATAACAAATACCTACCTATCACAAATCTGTCCAAGAATATTATTCCAACAAAAACACTGGCCATTAAGTTTGTTACACACATTATCCATAGATCCACCAACATTACATCCACATGGATCGCATGCATCGTCATTGAACAACGACAATCCATAATATTCATCCATACACTCATCACATCGTCTCTCAGTTGCATATGTTTTACAGGGACATAAACCAGTATCTTTATCACATACAGTCGTGTTACCCAAGGTACCGGCAATGTTACATGTACAGTCTATGAGAAAGATAGAGATGTAATATGAATGTATTTTTAAAACAAATTTACATTAATGAAGTGTTGTCTAAAAACATGCAATACTACACAGGGCAAAAGGTCTTGCTACATGCACAGTGACTGATTATGACATCATGATCCTACCCAGAGGAAAATGAACAGAATAAATCACTGCTATCATATACATATGTTAATTGCCAATATTGACAGTGAGTATATCATAATACACAATATATTTGGTTAACATGCACTACTTCAGTAAGAGGTTGGCAAAATAAGAAAAGATATAATAACTGCATCAACTTGTCCACCCATTTACCCATAATTATTAAGATTACAGTACTTGAATTGTAATTAAAATTTATCTAGAGACAATCAGATTGTTCAAATACGTGTACTTTAATAATTACCTAAACAACCACCCAGATTTGACGCTGACAGATCATAAAATCCATCTCTACAGACATCACATTTAACACCTTCTACATTATCTTTACAGAAACAGTCACCAGGCTCCTAAAAACAAAAACATATCATAACTATTACAACCTTGTCCATTGAGAACTTGGATTAAAGCATGGTGGTCGTCGCGCAGCGCGTGTTCGAATTTCATGTGAATAAACATTTGTAATTCACACGCATTGTATACGTCGCTATGCGTCCCATATCGAACAGGACGCGACACGACACAACGACTGCCGCCCTTTAAATAACAAATGGATAGATGGATAACAAACTAATCATGCAATATCTTTTTCTTTGCATAGCATTAGTGAGCATAAAAGTCCTGGAAAAAATGCAATAATAGTTTATCTATAAGCATTTTGCGCAGAAAGTACAGGCTAAAAAAGTTATAATTGCATAAAAAAATTCTTCACAGAATAATACTACATATTGTGTGTTAATCTCAATGTTCCTAATAGAATAATATGACTAGAATTGTATAAAAGTTTCCAGATAATAGTGCAGTAATATATTTAAGCAAAATAAAAGCCAGTTTTGAAAAAAGGTGGAAAACTTTTTTTATTGATACATAGAACAACTTATCGATTTACTCTTAGGGAGATCGTATTTACTAATACGTGGTTCTCATTATAAGTAGTATGAATGTCATCATTCTGTCCACTTCTACATCTAAACATGTTTTTACTCAGTCAAATTTTACAGCACATCTTGGAAACAGCGCTTGCTTTTTACACCAAAATTGAACTTCATTGACATTTTTCATAGTGATTAATGATTTGAAGCCAATAAAAAAAAAATTTTTCGAGTTATTGTAACCACAAAGAAAAGGAAATTTTAAGTGAAATTTAATGAACATCTTGAAAAACATACATAGAATCAAACTTGGGTTACTATAATATCGATAAAAACTGTTATTATAACCACAAGAAAATGTTTTATGACAGAGTCAATGACAAAAAAAATAACAATAACAACAAAGATAGACATTTCCCTCTCATATACCTTGCTTTTCATCTTTGAAAATCAAAGTAAAAACCATACCATTGATGATTATATCAAGACAACTTACCATACCAGGTGGTCTCAGCGTTTCATTGTTCATAACACAGTGACCACGTGCTAGACCAATGTCCAAATCTTCTTTGGTTCCAGGTAAGAAGCAATCACAAGGCTGACATGCATCTATATCTGTTTGTTGTTTGTCCAATGGTCTAAAGTATAACTCATGACATTTTTCACAATTGTTACCTGAGAAGATAAAATATACGAAGATCCATTGAGTTGTTTACAGCATGTACACTTTTATTACATAATGCAAAACTTTTTCAAATATAGCATAACTATTACAACCTTTCCCATTGATGGATGGATGGATGGATGATATATGGATGGATAGACGAACGGATGGACAGACGAACGGACGGACGGACGGACGGACGGACGGATGGATGGATGCTAATGATTTTTCTTTGCATGGCAAGAATATGTAAGTTCTAAAACAATGCAATAATATATACATTTTGTGAACAATGAACAACTCTGACCTAAAATGGAAAAGAACAAGAAAGTAATAATACTTCATGTTCTGTATTAATCTGTCTCTAAGAAAATAATATAACACGAATTGTATACAGGTTAAATAATAAAAATAATAGTACAGCAACATGACTAAGCAAAATTTGACAAGAAAAATACTAGCCAATGTGTTTCTCAATTAATACATGTACTGTATTAATCTCATTGTACCTTTATTAGAATAGTACGACATGAATTGTATGAAAATTCCTAAAAATAATAGTACAGCAATAAATGTAAGAAATACTTGGCAAAACAAAATACTACATGATCTCAATGTCCCTTACAAAATTATTTAACATGGATTGTGTAAAAGTATCCCAATAATGAGTGCAGTAGATACTATGACAGATTTGAAAGAGGTGGGAAATACTTCACTTTTTGATTTATACTTGACACAGTGATTGATAAGATTCCCAAATAATAGTTATTGTAATCATAAGAAGAAAATTTCAAGTGAAATTTAATAAATATCTTGAAAAATATTTGAAAAGTATTTGAGAAGTCATCATTTCTTACCTGAAGTGTTATTTGCACAATCAATACATACACCTCCACCAGAGTAGATACCATCTGCATTCAAACTTTGTTGAAGAGTTGCAACATTGATATCATAATAACAACTATCACTGTGATCAAAGCAGTTACAAGCTATCAACACAAAAGTATGTACACATGTTGATTAGTTAAATCACATTAAAATCACCTTCTCTGCACTTTTTTTTCGTTTGACGAAAATTTTCCATATTATAAAAATATTCAATACTTCAATAGCAAAATATATGTTCAACATTAAACAGATATTGTCTTAAATCAAATATTAAAGTTGATTTTAAAATGAACTGATAAAAGATTCTCTGAAACAGAAAACATTC